TGATCCTTAACATGCCTTTCTGTGTCCTACTTCTTTTATAAGTGACGTGTCTTGAGTATATTGTTCTCATCTTTATTTTACCGAGATTTCACAACGATGTATCTCAATGTGCATTTCCCTTCTTTTTGCTTGTTGTGCTGGTCACTCTGTGACATCTTTACATCTGAAGACCTGTGACCCTCAGAGCTGGGAAAGTCTCTCATCTTTTTATCTGATAATCTCCTTGATTTTATTCTCTCCTTCTTGGGAATTCTTGTCAGTTGGAGAAGATAGTGAAACTCCTGGATTGATCCTTTATGTTTGCAATTGTTTCTCTCATGCATTCCATCTCTTTATGCATTTTACTCTACGTTCTGAGAGACTGCCTTCTCTTCCTTTTCCAATCTTTATGAATTTAAAAAAATTTGATATTTTTAATTTCCAAGAACACTTCTCATCTTTTGATGGTCCCTTACCACAGCATCTTGTTTCATGGGAGGTGGATTTTTTTGTTTGTTTATCTTTGTCTCTCCCTTTTATGCTCTAGATTCTTCTCAAACATCTGGAGATCTCTGGTTACTATTTCATGTTTAAGCTGCTGGAGTTTCAAGTACTGGACAGGGACGGTTGGTTGGCTTGTGGCTTCCCTTTAGGATGGACTGGGCAGGGAGCTACCTGCCCCATGGACTGTCAAATATCAGAACACACTGCTCTTTCATTTGGGGGCATCTAACTTTTTTTTAGAGAAGGACATTTTAATTCTTTGCCTGGGAGATAGATCTCTGGGTTTGATATTCTGCAGTCGGGGAGGCAGGCAGAAAGCAGGGGGTATACACTGCTCTTTCTAATGACTTTATCAGTAAATTTTCCTGATATCTGTCCCTCATCTCATTCCTGCCATTTGAGGTCCTGGTGTCTCTGGGCCCTGAAGTTCTAACTTGGGCTAAATAATCCAGTATCTACTTTTTCATCCATTTTCCGGTTTCTGGAAAGTAGCTGAAATCTCTTCTCTGTGGTTGGCTCCTCCACCTCTCTATTACAAGTTTTATTTATTTTTTATCATTTAGGATCATTCTAGTGAGATCTCAGGGTGGAAAACAGGTGATGTGTCTGTCCACCATCTTGATGCAGAAGTCAGCCTCTATGGCTCCCCCCGCCCTTTTTGCTTAGGGCCAGATTTTTCATGATGCTTCTGCAAGGAACATTATATTATGTAGTTTGGGATCTTGTGATGAGTTTCTTTAACATGAGGAAAAGCGTTTTTCCCTCCTGATGCACTGGTGTATTTCCTTGGAATGCCTAGTGACACTTAGGCAACTTTCTGTGTTTCCATTTTTGATTCTGCTGCCAAGATGCTCAGAGTTAAATTTCGACCCTAATCCTATACCTTGGGATTATATATTTTTCCTCTTCCATTTTGCATATTTTTATTTAACAATCATACATATATCATTTATAACAGTCATATATATATGTATATATGTCTTTTATTGTTGGTTACCTTAAATTCTTTTGTGAGATATACAGCTAAGATCTTATATCCTCTTTTCTCCCAGTTGACAGCTCCTCGGAGGAGATCATTCCTTAAATTCTTGGTTTGTTCTTTCCAGGTTGACCTCTGCCTTCTCTCATCTTTAGTATCACTTGGATTTTGTGCCAGAGGATTTAGTCCTAGATGATCCCTCAGCGACCTTCTAATTCTAATGGAACCTGAGTCCAGTGGTGTCCTGCTTCCTGAACTGGGTCAAAGTATAACATTAGCTCCCCACTAGGGCAGAGACCAGGCTTTACACAGCTCCTCCATCCTTCAGTGGCTTAGTGGTTTGGAATCGATCCTGGTGAGCTTAGCCTCTGGAACCTAGGACAGCTGCCCCAGGGCGGCCCATAGGCCCAGTGGTCTGTGGAAATCTAGCAGGTAGTCAGGTACAGGACACATGATTAGCTCTTGGTTAACCTCCCCCTTCTCTCAATTCCTTCTCCATCCATGGGTTCCTTTCCTTTCCCCTAACCTTAGTAGGTGTGTATGTATGTGGGGGTGCATTGGAGTGGTGGCGTGCCTTGGAGCCAGAAGACTCTCTGCAATTTATATGCTGTGTGTCCTTGGTGGCCAAGTCAGCCTCTCTGACCCTTAGTTTCCTCATCTGTAAGATGAGGAGAATGGCGGGGGTGGCCATAAGAAGGAGACGAGTTAGCATACATAAAAGGTTCAGAACCCTACTTGATAGTCTTTAGTGGAGTAGAATTTTCATTCCCCAGTCTCTACGTCCCACGCCATCCCCCCTTCCGCATTCCTGCCCCACCGCGTCCGCCCTTACTGAATCAGCTCCAGCACCCTCATCTTCATGGCACGGACCAGGTCCCGCTGCCCTCCAAGCTCCTCCTCATACATGGTGTCCCTCCTCTCAGCCTCCTGCTGCTTCTGCTCCAGCTCCGTCTGCAGCCGGGCCCTCTCTTCCTGACACCTGGGCACAGAAGGAGGACTCAGTTCCCGGCATTTGTGCCCGAGCTAGGCCGGGCCTCTGCCTGCCAGGGGGCTCCTGGGGAAGCTGGTGGTGCTTCCTACAGCTGACGTGCGCACACATCATACACACCACACACGGACACACATACCTACCACACATGCGCTCACACATATACACACGTGCTGCACATATACTCCCGGCCCTCACAGCCCGCCATGCCACACATACCACACATACACACACACAGCAACACACACCACACGCACTCACAACACAAACACCATGCCACACAATACATGCCACATAAGTCACAATACACCACACACTCTACGCACATCACACACACCATATAACACACATACCACACACTCCGTACTGATACCATACCATATACACTTGTGACACATCATATATACACACAACACACTCACAACACCTCACACACACCACACACCATGTGCCACACACACACACCATACACACCACACATATACACACACCACACCACACACACCAAACACACACACACACTCACATATACACACATTCTTCACACATTCTCCACACCCCCACACCCTGCCAGGCCACACACGCTCACACACACATACAACACCCCGCACCACACACACTCCGAATGGAGCACCGTGTACAACATGACGTCTACAGGCTGACTCCTTACCAGCCGTTCAGAGGGATGAAAACAGGGTGTAGCCAACATTGCCATTTGCATTTCTTTTCTTTTCTTTTTTTAACATTTCCATTTTAAAATGTAATTTTCTTGAAAGGCATACTCACAATCATGGCAGCTGTCTGGAGGGAAGGGGGGCTATCTGGGGACCAGGCTGGATGGGCTGTGCCCAGCTGAGAACAATTATCGGTTTGGGGGGGGTAGGTGGGGTGGGGTTTGGGGTGATTTTTAGGTTTTAAAATATTTTGAAAAATTACAGCACATTGTCTTTTCAATTAAAGAAGCAATATTAAACATACGGCTTTCTTAAGTTTCTCTTTGAGTTTGGGCTTGGCGTTGCCTCAGCTCTGTTCTGGTCTCTTCATTTTGTCTTCGGTGGCTTCCTAGCAGGTTCCAAGAAATCTGCTGGACTGGAAATAAGAGGGTCCCAGCCCCTCCTCCCATCGCTCAGATGGGAGGGTGTTGCAAAGGCGGGTGCACATCCTGTGACCTCAGATGTGTGTGCGTGTGTGTGTGTCTGTCTGTGTGTGGCCACACCCCTGGGCTTCAGTGTGTTTGAGGCTTGCAAGAGGCTTCACGGTGAACTGAATTGTGAATTTTTACAACGCCGCCTCATAGCAGGCCTCAGAGAAGAAAGCTGGGTGGGCTGTAAAATCAAACCGACAACAGCTACCCATGGAAATTTTGAAAGACCAGTCAGTCCCTGCAACCCTAAGGAAGGGTGTTCTTGTGCTCAGGGCCACGTTCTGACTTTTAATGAACATTCTGGTCTCCAGTATCCTTCCTTCTTAGGATTGCTGTTTCATTTTCCCGAGCTAGTTTACTAGCGCACTGATCCCAGGGCCTTTGGTGAGGCTGGTGTTGGTCCCGATGTGAGCACCATGGTTACAGTGTATCTTTGAGGTGGGGAGGGAACATTTATTAAGCACCTACTGTGTGCCAGGGGCTGTTGGAGGGGGCAGGAATACAGCAGTGCATATGCCTCCTGGTGGAGCTTAGAGTGTGTCTGGAGCAATGTTCAAAACAAGTAATGGGCCAATAACATGGTGAAGCCAAGTGTATGACTGGGATGAAGGAGAGGCGGGGGAGGACTCGAGAGGGTGCTCGGCAAAGGCTCCTGAGATGAGGTGACCTTTAAGCAGATCTAAGAGATGAGAAGTCAGCCATGTAGAGCCACGGAAAGGCACATGTGAAGGTCTGCAAGTTGGCAAGAACTTGGTTTGTTTGAGGAACTGAAAGAAGGCAAGGGAAGCTGGAACATCACGAAGGGCAGGAGGTGGGGAATGGGCAAGAGAGGAGGTGGGAAGGAGCAGGGCCTGATCTCGGCCTCGCTGGCCCCGGGAAGGGTGGACTTTAATCTCAGTGCAATGGAAAGACACCCAAGTATTTCAAGCAGGGGCTGACAGACACCTCCAGTGCAGGAGGGGACCTGGAAGAAATTCAAGTCTGTTGAACACCTACTACATGCCAGACCCTGAGCTCAGGGCTTTATAGCCTGGCTCCGTTTTAAATTTTCAGAAATGTATGGTTAGGTAATATGATCGTTATTTTACAGGAAAGAAAATAGAGCTTCAGAGAGGAAATCACACTTGCTGAGGGTCACACGGCTTGATAAGTGGAGGGAGCAGAAATCAGGATGCAGGCCTCTCAGGCCATCAACTCTTTCTGTCGTCCCACACTTCGGTGGCTCTTGGCACCAGTGCTGAGTGGGCAACCGGTGGGAGAAAGGGATAGAACCTTATGAGCCCCTGGTGTGCCTCAAAGGATCTCAGGGGGGGGTGGGGGGGGGAATGTGTGATGTTTGCCTAATTCCCCATCTGAGGACCTCTTCCACTCATCCCTGACCTAATCACCTTTGCTTTGAGGTCTTACCCAGGGACAGAAGAAACCCACCTGCTTGGAAGGATGGTCTCACAGAGCATCGGAGCCGGAAGGAGGAACTTTAGAGATCCAACCATCTCCTTTTGCAAATCAGACACCAGAGGCCAGAAAGGGAAGGTCAGTTTCCCAAGGTGCCATGGCCAGAGAGCTGGGAAGTGGGTGTCGGATGTCCCACAGCTCAGTTCCAAGTGTATTTTCTTAGCTCCTGGTTGGTCTGCTGGGGCCTGATGCTTGGCTGGTCTGGTGTCTCCCCTGTGTGTCCAGCCTGGGGCTCTGCACCCAAAGGCTGCATCCCTGTCCATCTTCACTCTATTCTCCACACCACAAACAGAGCAATCTTGAAGGTCTTGGGACCTCCCACTTCCTGCTCAAAACTCTGTTCCAGCCCCACGGGGATTTTGCATTTGCAGGTCCCCCTGCCTGGAGCACCCCTCCCACCATATCTGCAGGGTCCAGTTGTTCCAGTGATCGGGGCTTCTGCTCAACTGTCACCTCCTCAGCGAGGAAGCCCATGACTCTAAGTCTAGGTGACTGTCTTGTCTCTATCCCCTTTCCTGGACTGATGTTTTCCCACAGCACCCATGACTAGCTGACATCTCATTTCTATTTGTTGATCTGTCGTCTGTCTCTGCAGGTCCCAGAGAGCAGACACTGCCTGTTCTGTTCATGGCTGTCACCCCGCTCATGGCCACAGTAGAGGCACCATACTATTGTTGGCTGACTCAGTGGGCCCCACGGCACTTCTCTCTGGCGGTGGTGAGACAGCCAATCCCAGCTTGATGCCCATGGCCCCTGGAGTGAGACATTCCTCCTGAGTTCCCTGGATCCCAGGAGGCAGGGCAGCACATCGTCCTCCCAGCCACAGAAGCTTCTGTTCCCACTACCCGCGTTCTGACGGCTCTCCAGCAGATCAGCCTGTGCCTCTCCTCTGAGCTCCACACCCTCCTGTCTGCCCAGCGGCTCCACTTGCCCGTCCAACGGGCGTCTGAGACTTAATAGGCTCTCACCCCAGCTCCTGAAATTTCCCCACAAGCCTGCCCTGCCATGGCAGACTGTCAGCTGGGACTCCGGCCTTCCAGCGGGTCAGGCGGAAAAACGAGAGTCATTCTTGACATCTGTTTCTCTCTTGCACCAGGAAGCCCAGCCTCACAGTAGACACAGAATCCTGCAGCTTCTTTGCACCTCCATTGCCAGAGAGCATTTGGGGACTCCCCCGCGCTCCCCTTCCTCATCAGCATCCCCACTTCCTTACAGACTAGCCCCAGAGAGCAGTGGCCTTGAGCCCTTGAAAGCACAGATTGGTCCGGATTAGGCACGTCTACGGGGACAGATGAGCGCTTGCCTAGGGCTGGGAGGTTGGGAGAAAATGGGCAGTGACTGCTAATGGTACAGGGTCTCCTCTTTGGGGTGACGAAAATGTCTGATCGAGGCACAGTTTTATAAATACACAAAAACCCACTGTATTGTTAAAAAAAAAAAAGTGAACATACTTAACATTAAAGCAAACAGTTGCATCTTGTCCCTCCTCTGCTCAGGACTGTTTCAGTGGTTCCTATCTCACTCTGAGTCAAAGCCAAGGTCCTTTTGATGACCTGCAAGGGTCTCCTGTTACCCGACTGACCTGCCCCTACCTCCTCTCCCTCCTCACTCCACTGGGCCTCAGGGATATTCCTGGGACCTGCCACGCCCATTCCCACCACCTGGCCCTGGCCCTTGCTGTTCCTCTGCCTGGATCATTCTTCGACCACATACCCAAATGGCTTACTCCTCACTTCCTTCAGGTCTTCACTCAAGCATCACTTTTTCAGGGAGGCCCTCCCTGGCTGTGCCGCCATATTTAAAGTCAGCCCTTGACACCCCCATCCCCTGTTCCTGCTCGACTTTTTTTTTCTTAGGACTTGTCACATCTGACGCTATGCAATTAACTTGCTTGTCGTGTTTACCGATTGCCTCCCCCACTAGAAGGGAAGCTCCACAGGGACAGGGGTTTGGTCTGTGTTGTCCACAAGAGGATTTGCGGCACACACCACAGGGCCGGCACAGAGAAGGTGAGCTGAGAGTCTGTGGGATGCTGGATGGGATGACAGGCCGCAGGGTGGTGGTCTGTGACACAGGGGCTCCCCCAGCCGAGGGAGCAGTCTGGGCCTGGTGGTCTCCTTGGATCCTCCCAGCTGCTCCCTCCAGGCCATCTTGATTCCCAGAGAAGGCCCCTGGGTGGGCAGGGCCTTGCGTTCACCTAGGGCCGGGATCACGGGAATCTTTCCTGACCAAACTGCCTAGGGATTTTTCCCGAGCGTCTGGTGGGAGGAGCCCGGGGGGACCTTTTTGGGTTGGTTTCTGGGCCCACAGCCTCTCTCAGCCTTTTAAGCAGAGAGTCTGTCAACTGCCCAGTGATTCAGTCTGAAGCACAGCTACCCAGGCTCTGATGCGGGCGGGCTGGGGTGTCCCGGGGTGGGCGTCAGCCACGTGCGAGGGACAGAGCCAGGAGGGCAGACGAGGCACACAGCAACCACGGGAGACAGACCCGGAGGGACTGAGTCAGACAAAGCAAGACCTTTGCATGGCAGAGATATTTTAAAGATTCTGAAAGAGAAACTCAGACCCTGAGAGAGTGTGCTCCGGGCTCTTGAGGTTAGTGTGATGCTGGGAAGTCGAAGAAGCTGGATGGTGAGGGGGGCTGAGCGGGAGAAACGGGGGGACTGAAATAATACAGGCACTCAAAATCTTGCCTGGGAGCCCGTGTGGAAGCCCTCCGGTTCTGGAGTCAGCTGCTGTGGTGCAGACCTCAGCTCTCTGCTAACTAGTGACATTGGGTGAATTGTGTGGCACCTTGGAGACTCAGTTTCCCTATCTATAAAATGGGGATTCTTAGAGAACCTACCTCATAGTTTGGTTAGGAGGAAACGCCTAGCACAGTAAATGCTCCGTACATGATAGTTATGATGATGATTGTGATTTGCGAGGGTGAAAGAGAGGCTGTAACAGGGAGCAGGAAAATGAGAGACAAATGAACAGGGGAAAGATGGAGAACGAAGGGCAGGAGTGTGGAGGGGCAGGGAGGGAGACTGGCTTGAAAAGAGAGGGGAACAGCCGCAGAGGGGCAGAGGTGAGTGTGGGAGGGGAGGGAGGGTCAGGAGGCATCCACCTTTCCTGGAGGCTCTCAGGGAGGCCAGTGAGGGGGGGCTGGCAGGGGGTGGGGGTCAGTGGGAACTGCTTGAGGAGGCCCAGGAATAATGCCCTGCATGCCGCAGCATCCCCAAGTTGTGTCCAGCATGGGAGGCACTCAGAAGACACTTACTGGCGTGACCATGAAGGGGTGAGCAGGAGCCTCCAGTCCTGCCGGACTCCCTGCCAGGCCTGTTTGTGCAGGGGTGGTGGGGGGTGGTGGGGGGTGGCCAAGGTTACCTGCTGAGCTGCTCCTGCAGTGTCTTCAGCTCCCCTTCCTGCTCCTTCAGCAGCTGCTCCTGGTACTGGGCCTGCTCCTTGGTCTTCCAGAGCTCATGTCTCAGGCTCTTGGGGGTGGGAGGTAAAGGAAGGGAAAGGGAAGCTGAGGGAGGAGGGCAGAGATCCCAGCTCCAGGTCTGACCTGACAAACATCCCCGTGAGACCCCAGGCCAAGTGAGACAGCCCTTAGGTGGAGGGCAGGACTGGGGACAGCCCTGGGAGCTGAGAGGCCAGGCTCTGCCCCTGGGTGAGCCTGGGGCCACCATTTCTTCCTTTGCTGAAGGATGAAAGTTACAGAGCTCAAAGGGCACGAAGACTGTGGCTAGAGAGGAGGCTGAAGGAAAGCTTGAAATCAATCTTGTGATCTCCAGGAGAATCATCTACAACAAAGGCAGCTAGGTGGCTGCCCCGAAGAGCTGTTGGGGAGGGGTCTCAGACTCAAGTGCCCTCAGGGGCCAGGCAGGTAGGACTGATGAACGAAGTGGGCCTGGCGTGAGGCTACGTACGGTAAGAAGACCCCCTCGAAGAATAATCATACTGTGCAGACCAATCAGAATTGATCTGGGGGGGGGGGCTGGGTGGCTCAGTCAGTCAAGTGTCTGCCCTCGGCTCAGGTCATGATCCCGGAGTCCTGGGATCGAGTCCCGCATCGGGTTCCTTGCTCTGCGGGGAACCTGCTTCTCCCTCTCCTCCCCACTTGTGCTCTCTCTCACTATCTCTGTCTCTGTCTCTCTCTCAAATAAATAAATAAAATCTAAAAAGAAAATTAAAAAAAAAAAGAATTGATCTGTGGGCTGCAATGTCCCCCCCCCCATCACCACCGAAGAGTCCCACCTGTGGGCCAGGTTAGAGAGGGAGAAGAGGCAGGTACAGTGCTCAGCTGCTCTCACCTTGACCACATCCTGCAAGGCCACCTCTGCCGGCTCCTTCCTCCTGGTCACCCTGGTCACTCCTCTTTCCTCTTGTGGTCTCTCTGGGGTGGAGTCTTCCTTTGTTCCTAGGTCCCGTAGGACCCGGGGCTCTCCCCGAATGCTAGGCACCTCCCACTCCTGCGGGCTCCCTGACATCGTGTCCTCTATTGTCCTTTTGGGGCTGGAGGCCGGCAGCCTGTGGGCATGACCCCACTCTGCTCCTGCTTTGTGAGTCTCCTCTGCACCCGGCAGAAGCCCTCTGCCCTCAGCCTCCGTCTCTATCACCTCCTCCGGAGCTCCGTCGGCCCACTCCCCCTGTCCCTGGCTGCTGGGTGAGTTCTCCAGGCAGATCTCAGGTCTTGGGGCTCCCTTCTCCTGGGCTTGCTGAAGCTCCTCCCCCTCTGGTTCCCACATGCTCTGGGGGGGCCCGAGCCTCCTGGGATCTTCTCTCTTCTTTTCCACGAAGGGACGAAGATGCCTGTGTTGCTGGGACGTGGGGAGTCCAGCTAACCCGTCTTCCCTGGGCTCATCTCGCAGATAGCCGGCTTGGCTAGTGTGCGGCTCCTCTGGCTGGACTCCTGCGGGGTCTCCATGTGGTGCTGAGATCTGCAGAGAAGCCCCCGAAGCCACTCTCGGCACCAATTCGCCCACTGGGTGCATAGGAGAGGCCACAGACCGAAACCAAGGAACTGGCTAACTCTAAGGGCATGTTGATTCAGGAGGTCTGGGACAGGACCCAGGAGCCGGGAACCTACCATCACCGCAGGTGGATCCGGGGCCCAAGCTTCGGTCTGGTCAGGGAGCTGAGGTGCCTCTCAGTGTTCTTTACTCTCCTCCTTCCCTGCTTCACCTGCACCTTCTATCTGGCTTCCTCTAAGTTCTTCCCACTCTCTCCTCTCCTCCGTCCTGCCCCTGAACTTCTCTGTGTTTCAGTTTTCTTGTCTGTGAATTGGGAATAATAACCCCTACCTCGTAGGGTTGTGGTGAAAGCTTAAACAGACCCCCAGCAGCAAAGAGTCACCTCTCTCAAGCAGCCTTCTCTGTGCTCCCATGTTCTGTGCATGTCTGCATCACCGCACTTAACAGGTTGTATTGCAATGGGTTCCCCCTACTGGTCAGAGGCTGAATCCTCATGGTATCTGGACCTGATGCCCGGAAGCCGAGGGGGTGCAAAGCAAGACTGGGGAACGGCAATAGCCACAAGCTGTCCCTTCCTGAGCATTTGGCTAGGGGCCTTGCTCTGTGCTACACACGGTCTGTCTCAATGCATCCTCACAATCACCTTCGAGGCAAGACAAGTACCTTGCCAAGGACCTTGGTGATTAGGGGCAGAACTGGGATTTGAACCCAGAAACCTGGCTCTTCAGTTGCTCCCTGAACAGCACTGAGACATTTGCACGTTGTCCAACGGAGGCTGTTTCCCTGGTGTGCATCCTACGTGCTTCTGGGTACCCACCCCACCGCCTCCCCGACCCCTGGGCCCCTGGGTCCCGTGGATGGTGCTAACGGTCGCCTTCTCTCCCTGATATGTCTGTCTGTCAGCTTGGTTACTGCTCATCCTGGGGGGCCCAAGAGAGATGGAGAGGAGGCAGCTTGGAGTGAAGTTGGGCAGAGGCACCTGCTTTGGGGAATCTTTGGTCTTTCTGGGTCTTCTTCCCTGGGTCCGACTGGCACTGGAGTAATGGGACCTGCAGTGGAAGGGCAAGGGGGTCTGGGGGCCTCTCTCCGGCAGCGGTCCAACCACCCATTGACCGCACTATCCCTCCCACCTTCCCATTCTCACAGATGCACCCCCCCATCCATGCACACACCCCGCCCACCACTCATCCTGACATCCACCATGGGGTTCATCCTTCTGACCCTCCAGCCCAAGCATCCAGCAACTCCTTATGAGTGAGTACTGCATGCAGTCTCACGAAACATGATGGGATTACACCGGGAAAACAGAAGGCTGAGGGGGGTGGGGGATCAGGGGCTCAGACAGCAAGAAGGGAAGGCGAACCGATGGGGCTCAGGCTGAGTTTGGAGCTTGCAGGGGGTGGTGGGGGTAAGGAACTGGAAAGTGGCTTCCCTCCACGCGGGACACACTCACTCTGAGAACATGGGCCAGGCTTCATCTAGGTTTGGCCACTGCAGGTCCAGGTCGAAGGCCACCCCATTGAGA